ACCACACAGCACTTCTGTCTGATTTCATCTTCTCCTTCACACTGGCCAAAACATACTCTCCCTCACACTGGCCAAAACTCCCTCACACTGGACAAAACATACTCTTTTCACCCAGTCATACCAACCACTAACTGACCAAGTGGGGTCACAATTTTCTGTAGAACCTCAAAATCAGTTTCCAGGGTGAAAGGAAAGACAGTACCCAGACTTTCATGAAGATAGCCCATTTCTGTTTCTTCAGATGAAACCTCAGAACCTTTCAGATGAATACATAATTTCACAGCTACTGTACAGAGAAGGTGTTCACTAGTAGTCTGGGTGTGGCAGGTTCCAGCCCCGGTGAGACCAAGTCAACACCCGGTGGCTGAGTGGACACTTTGGCCGAACACGCTCCAAACCCTTGACTGCAGCCCCAGTGAAGGACAGATCCAGTGTGCCCAGCAACCTGCTTTACAGACCAGAGCATCTTGAAAGCCCCAGTTTTTGCTCGTAAGATGTGCCCATCCGTGGGCCTTCCCAGTGGCGCAGCAGTTGAGTGCTGGGTTGCGAGGCTGCCCACAGCCTCTGCAGCACCGGTTCCATCCCCGGCCGCCGGGCGAAGGTCCCACATGGCGCGCAGACCTCTCCTGCCGCCGCTGCTCCCCTCAGCAGTGTACTTCATCAGTCTGCCTGTTCTGCTCTTCGCTCTGGCTCTGGTGAATTCTCTTGCCTTCCCGTGCTTCTGACTGTACCCAGTGCTTGTATAAATAGATAAATAAATAAATCTTTAAAAAAAAAAAAAAAAAGATGTAACCATCCTGAGGGCCTCCCTGCTGCCACAAGGGGTTAGGACGCAACCCATGAAGCTGTCCACAGCCTCTGCAGCATGAGTTTGATCCACAGCCAGGGAGCTACCCACATGGTGCAGCAGACCTCTCCTGGCTTGCCCACTGCTCCCCTCAGCAGTGTATTTCAGTGGATCTGCCTGTTCTGTTCCCCACTCTTGTCTCTGTTGAATCCTCTCACCGCCCTCCCCGCACCTCTGGCTTTGTACCCCAGTTCTTGTATGCATAAATAAATAAATCTTTAAAAAAAAAAAAAGATGTGCCCATCCTAGTAAGTGGACCCTCAGGTTTAGGATGTGAAGTCATCCACCTACATCTGTTAACAAACTCCTGGAGGTCCTCCTTGAAATAATCCATAAAAGGAACAGTTACAGTGCTGCCAGCCAAGTTCTTCAAACTTTCCAGACGAGATTTATAGAACAAACCTCTGCCTATTTGGTGCTATTCAAGGAAAGACAGCAACTCCCATCACCCAACAGAGAATATTTTATTCTCAGGACCAGAATGCATGCTGCTTCACATTAGGGGATTAGTGAGGCCGTGCATCTTAACCCTGGCTACCCGTCAGTCTTACTCAGACCTACTAGATCAGGCTCTGTTGGGGGCTTTCGTTGTTTTTAAAGATTCTTCAAGTGACTAGAGCCAGCATATTAAGCCCTGGCTCCCACAAAAAAAAAAAAGCATAAAGACTCAGAAACAGTTTGTAGAAAAACACTCTCACAAAAATCAGCATGTCCCTGAAGGGGTGGCTGGGTGGCCAGGCTCCTGAGCCCGCTGAGCTGAGCAGCAGCCAAGAGCAGGGTTTGGTGTTTACACACTCAAAATCGGCTCTGGGTTGTCACAGCAACTCCCAAGGCAGTTCCTCCTTCCCCTTGGCGGCCTCATTCCAGGCTCTTCTATTCTCTGTTATGGTCTTGATGATCTGGGTAACCTGGTCTGCTGTGTTCCTTTTATTTTTCTCTCAGTTGCTCCATCTTTTTATTTATTTATTTTTTTTTATAGAGGCATGCTTTTATTTTATTTTATTTTACTTGTTTGTTTGTTTTATACATGCACTGGGTACAGTCAGAAGCGCGAGAGGGCGAGAGAATTCACCAGAGCCAGAGCGGGGAGCAGAGCAGGCAGAAGGACCGAAGTACACTGCTGAGGGGAGCAGCGGGCGGCAGGAGAGGTCCGCGCGCCATGTGGGACCCTCCTGTGGTGGCCGGGGAGCAGCCGGGGATCGAACCGGCGCCGCAGAGGTCACGGGCAGCTTCGCAACCCAGCGCTCAACCGCTGCGCCACCGGGGAGGCCCTGCTCCATCTTCTTACCACATGTTCAGTAGTGTGCAGTAATACCTCACCTAAATGGAACTCAACACCCCCCATTTCCCCCAGATACACCTAAAAACAGGAGATAGCAGAAAAGGGCCTAGAATCCCCAGAACAGTTCCCGGGTCTACACACTGTCTATAAGGAACAAAGAAAACACCCAAATCCCTTGCTCTTGCTCTCTTGTCTTGTTTTTTTTTTGTTTTGTTCTAAATTTTTAAAACAGTAATGGTTTCTTGGGCCTACAATTAAGAAGAGTCAGGCAGTCATGCTGAGAGCTCAAGAAGTGACTGTTGATCCTCAAATAGCAAGGAAAGAGACAGAAAAGCTGTACGAAATGGGTACAAGAACTCAGAATGCAGGACAATGTGGGCTCTGAGTGTCCAGGTAAACTATTTCATATCCTTCAGTGGGCTCTGGAGCTATCGTGACTTTCTAGAATGATTATGATCCATATCACCAAGAAAATGTTAAACAATATTCGATTGAAGGAGGCAGAGCCCTGTGTGGTGTGGCTTTTAATTTCAAGCATTCCAAATGGGTAAGCCTTTTGATGCTTAAAGAAGTAAGTTCTTGGGCCTCCCTGGTCATGCAAGGGTTTAAGTCACAGCACTATGACGCAGCCACTGCAGCACAAGTTCCATCCCCAGCCAGGGAGCTACCCACATGGTGCAGCAGACCTCTCCTGTCTCGCCCGCTGCTCCCCTCAGCAGTGTATTGCAGTCAATCTGCCTGTTCTGCTCCCCACTCTGTCTCTGGTGAATCCTCTCACCCCCGCACCTCTGGCCTGTACCCCAGTTCTTGTATGCATAAATAAATCTTAAAAAAAAAAAGTAAGTTCTTAGCTAATCAGAACCTGTTTATTGTCTTCTAGATAATGAAGATCTACACTAGTTATTATATCTGTTCATATATACCCCATTCCTGAAACATTAAAAGAAAAAAAGATTTAGGGCAACTGGATCTTACTCTGTTTACTTTCTAATGCCTGCCTGTGCCTTTAGCTGTACTTGCTGCTAACCTGGTGTTCTATCCCTGCCAGTGTTCTGCCTATGTGATACGTATGAGACTTGATCCTATGTCTTTGCTCATTCATCCAACTGTGAAAGGGTCATAGATGCCTCCCTCTCTCTTGAGCTTGTAACCCTAGATCACTTTATCTCAACTAGCTAGAAAATAAACCATTTCATGTCACATCCTCCCTCATTATATGCTCCATAAACAGAAACCTGGCATATAAATGTGTCAAATGAATGAATGAGCAAGTAATCCACAAGATGTCTATTAAGTTAACTGCTTGTGTGAAGCCATAAACTTGATAAAGAACTTAGCCCCTTGGGCCTCCCTGGTGGCTCAAGGGGTTAAGACGCAACCTATGAAGCAATCCGCAGCCACTGCAGCACAAGTTCAATCCCCGACCAGGGAGATACCCACATGGCGCAGCAGATCTATCCTGACTCACCTGCTGCTCCCCTCAGCAGTGTATTTCAGTAGATCCACCTGTTCTGTTCCCCGCTCTGTCTCTGGTGAATCCTCTCACCTCTCCCCACACCTTTGGCCTATACCTCAGTTCTTGTATGCATAAATAATAAATCTTTAAAAAAAAAAAAAAAGCGTAGCCCCTTAAGAGAACAGCAATCAAAACCAGTATATTCTAGCACCAAAAAAAAAAAAGTTGATATGCTGTTTTGTGAAAAACATTTGGATACCTAAGTACATGGACTGTGATAAAAGCTAAAAAAAAAATTAAAAAATTATGGGGAAAAAAGACCAGAAGGACTTAAGTCAACATGTAACATGATTATCCATTTACTTATTCACTTAATAAATAACATATTTGCTTAATAAATAACTTGTTTGTGTACAACACTTTCCTAAGCATTGCAGAGTTACCCAAACTCAACTTACTCATTTGCCAGTGGTGAACAAACTGCAGTTTATAATTTAAAAGCAAAAGAACTGCAGCTAAGGTAACCATGACCAACTCAAGCACACTGATGATTCAACGAATGGTAGATGAAGTAACCTTCCCAAAAAAACAGCAGGGATTACAGTTCCTCACCCGGGCCGCAGGGTGCTGGGAGTATTGCCATGCACACCGGCCAGACTTCTTCATAGTTCCTGAATGTGAATCTGCAGTGAAACCCTGGGACACACTGGTTTCAGTTCAGGAATACCAAGTGTGAGGGACCCTCTTTAATTAAGTCAGCTGCCCTTGGCCGTGCATAGGGTAGGCCAAACTCGTAGCTTGGTCACATCCCTTTCACCAAACTGTGAATCATGGATTCCGAAGACATTTTTTCCAGGATTCCTAAGTAGACTTGATCACTTGGTCAATGCCCAGTCCCCCATGTGTGAGGAGTATCTGTGCGTATCCTTCAACTGCTGCACCTTTGTGCACACTGCCAGCAACCACTGCTCTGTAGCCTGGTGTTCATTTATATTTATCCTCTTAGCACTCTCAATAACCTGCTGACATATTCAGCTGGCAGGACAGGTAATGAAATTATAGTTATCCATCAAGGTATAAAATTAGTATTTCTTGGCCTGGTTGGCACCCCGATGCCTGTGTCGTTGCAGAAAAACACAAGAGAAAATTCTTAGCAGTATTTAATAGGCTGTAAGTAGGACCTAGCCTTAGTCGCTAGGTTTGTTTTGCCTCATATAAAATTAGTATCTTCCAATTTTAATTTGTATCACAAAGAGACTGGATTCTTGGGGATACTGTTATCATGATCTCTGTTGACATCCATATAATGTATGTTTTCCTCTCTGAGCTGAATTGCATGCCAGATAAACTTCCAGAACAAAACTGGAATCACACCAGGCACCAGTAACCCTATTCTGATCTTTCTCCCCTTCTAGGTTACCCCTTTGCTGTGTTTTATCGGCATTACCTTTTCTACAAGGACAGCTACCTCATCCATCTCTTCCACACCTTTACAGGCCTCTCAATTGCTTATTTTAACTTTGGTAAGTGAGCTGCGATTAGAAGGTACATGGGGAGGAACACACTTGAACAAAATTCCCTTGAGAGAATAGGGAATTCCCTTGCTGGATAGGGAAGTTAGGACACTGCTGCAAAATGGGTTTCTATGGACAGAACAGCTTCATCCCTTTATGTACATTCTCTCCCAGCTGAAAACATTGAGTGTGGTCACCCTTGCCCAGCCCCATCAACAGACAAGCCACGCTCGCATTCTGCTATGACTTATTAAATCTCATCCCTTCCTCCAAGACACAAATTCTATAAATTTCTATTTAGAAAGAAATTTTCTATCACCAAAGTTTCCCCTTTATCTATTCATGTTCAGAAGTTTCAGGAAGGGTAGGAATGCAAAAGAAACAGCTAGCATGTGCTCCCTTCTCTGCAGGAAACCAGCTCTACCACTCCCTACTATGTGTTGTGCTTCAGTTCCTCATCCTTCGATTGATGGGCCGCACCATCACTGCCATCCTCACTACCTTTTGCTTCCAGATGGTAAATGTCTTTCCACTGGTGACTCACGTCACAGCTGACAGTAGATCAGGGGTGGAGGGAGGTCAGGGACTGCAGTGCAGAAAAGGCATTAAATTAGGAAATCCAGTTTCTCGTCCCTTCACGCATCAACACTTAGCACTGTGACTTTGCAGGGGTCACTTATCACAGGCCCCCCCATGTTCCACCTGCAAATAGCAATGTGAGGCTGCACCTGCCTCAAGGAAGGGGTGCCATTTCGCCTTTCGTGTGAGACTGAGCCGTTAAGATTCTTTACTTCTGACCAGGATCAGCCCAGCTGTCCATGAGAAGAGTCACATAAAGGCAAAGCAAAAAACAAACTTAGATGAACTATATAATCTAAGCATCTGGATACTCATCTCGGTTTAGCCCTCATTTTGCTTGGAATTCATGAGCCAGTCTCTTCCCTTTATAAGTTCAGTTTCTCCATCCATAGGCATTTCTTAAAGCTTTTGGTGATGGGGCTAGGAGAAAGGAGAGATGAAAGAATCCTTTAGATCACAGAGCAGGAAGGAAATAAGAAATGGTAGCACAAAAGAATCAGTACTACCCCCTCTCCTAGGGCTACCTGCTTGCTGGATATTATTACACAGCCACTGGCAACTATGATATCAAGTGGACAATGCCACATTGTGTTCTGACCTTGAAGCTGATTGGTGAGTGGGTCACTGCCTCCCCTTCTACACCTAGGCTTCCCCTCCCCATCTCACCATAGACGTGCTCCTGGCTACACTCAGTCCACAGGCCACATGCTCAGTGTCTTCTCCCTCTACACTACCCACCCCTTCTCTCTCTGCTCAGGTTTGGCTGTTGACTACTTTGATGGAGGGAAAGATCAGGTAAGTACCCGCTCCTCAGAGATGTTAAGGAATTCCACCTGAGGGCAGGAGAAAGGCTGTTGGTCCCCCCCAAGATAATCCAAACACCAGGGGCAGAGCCTTGCCCTCCTCCCCAGCCTGTGTGACCTCCATTTTAGATAGCACTGAGCAAGGATCAACAAACCTCATTTCCCCGGCCCTAGCTCTTGCGCAAAGTCCAGAGAGCAGTGCCAGCAAGGCATTTGGAACAGCAGCAGCAGCCAACCGCTGCTGAGCAGACTCCCATCCACGTGAAGCAACTACTTTTCTCCATGCCATCCCCTCAAAGAAAGGGCTATTCAAAAGCCCGGTTCAGGGGGACACCAGGGTGGGGAACACTCAGACTGGCACCTGGGGGGGCGAGTCGAGGTGATCCTGAAGTATTCGTTCTCTTCTCGGCATAGAATTCCTTGTCCTCTGAGCAACAGAAATATGCCATACGGGGTGTCCCTTCCCTGCTGGAAGTTGCTGGTTTCTCCTACTTCTATGGGGCCTTCTTGGTAGGGCCTCAGTTCTCAATGAACCACTACATGAAGCTGGTGCAGGGACAGCTGACTGACGTGCCAGGGAAGATACCAAACAGGTAATTGGCCCTCTTGGTCAAGACCACTGGGGGTAAAGACCTCTGTAGCTTCTCACCCCATACAAATGCACTTTGAAGTGGCTTTCCTGTGGGCCAGCCTGGCCCTGCTCCAGGAAGCCCTGACTCACAGGCCTGTGATAACTGCTCACAGCCAGTAGGGGGCCCTTTTCAGCTTAGTTTCCTTCCAGCCATCTGTTCTGACCCTGTGGGACAAACATAAAAACTCACTTTTATGCCACAGCTTTGGGCCTGAATCAGTTAAGTTCCTGCCTTTAAAGCTTATTTTCTCACTTTAAAAGTACTGTTGAATATATTTAAATGGATATAAATATCACAGTAGAAAATGTGAAGTTACGGGAAGACTCCCTTTGCTAAGAACTGTGGTCCAGCCTGTTTGAGCATTGATTCCAACCAGGACTGGAAGAAGCAGATAATTGTTTATTATCATCTCCGCTATGTTGGGTTTGCTAGTGCAGATAGAGAACCTGGTGGGTCCTTGATCAGCAGGGTCCCTGGGGGAGACTGCCCTGCCCTTCCCCGTGATCCGAGGTTCACATTCCCCATTCCTCATATCCAGCTACATAGCAACTGAGTGCAGACTTTGGGCAACAAAGCTACTCATTCCATTCCAGATGGAGAGCCCACTCTAAAACGCTCCTCTCCATAATTTAAGGTCAGAGGGTGAAGAATATACCTCTGCCCGGCGTGACCCCACTTATTCCTTTCCAGCACCGTGCCTGCGCTCAAGCGCCTGTGTCTGGGCCTCTTCTACCTGGTGGGCTACACCCTGCTCAGCCCCCACATCCCAGAAGACTATCTCCTCACAGAAGACTATATGGTGAGTGGTTACTAAAGCAGCAGCCACGTGACTGCAGCGGAGAGCAAGTGGACAGGCAAGGATCCCTGTAGAGGCAGGAAGTGGATGCTATCCTCTGGTGGCCTGCTTTTTTAAAAGCCACAAATGCATGTTGGTTTTGCTCTAGATCTGTGAGAGTTGATGTCAGTGCCAGCTGGGCCAAGACAGGTTCATCAGCCAGCGCTGGGACCTTTGCAGGCACAGGGCTGTGCCAGGTGCACACTTAGCACCCCTTCCCTGCCTAGGAGCTGCTCTTAGTTTGCTTGAGCACAGCCACAGGGTTCCTGAAGCATAGCAGCTCTTGTCTTCCTGGGCCTATTCTCACTGTAAACCCCTGGCTGCTGCTGGGGAATTCAGAACCCAAGCCAGGGGAGGGCTGGCTTTTGCGTCTGCCCACCACAAAGGCTTGAAGTTGCCTGCCCCCCCCCCCCCAATTCTGGGCAGGTCTCCTTAAATTAACATTGAATATGCATATATACAGTCCCCCAGTGAGAAAACAAGCATGAACTAAATCAAACAGAAATAAACTTTTGGAGGATAAGACCAATTAGGGATTGTAAAAGAAAGGGAAAATGGTGGGTAAATCGGAGCAAATGGGACAACAGCATGAGGGCTAAAACCAGCCTTTTAGCGGCGAAGTTCATGTAGTATATATACACAGGTTGATTTTCAGTCATGCGCATCTAAGTCCGAACATGTTATAATGCAGTATTACTTCAATTTTTTAAAATTGTCTTAATAATAAGTTCCCCAGGACTGACTGTCCCAAATGTTCAGGGCTTTAGAAGAGTTAAGGATAGTGGTGTCTTTGGGACTCTGTAAGGAAAAGGTGAATGGCTGTTCACGGGGAACCCTGCTTGCTCTGGTGGCCTGTTTTTTCAAAAGCCATGAAGCCAGTAGGCAGCCACAAGTTTGCAGAGCATTGAGGGGAATATGCCTCACGGGTCATCTCCCTAAAACACGTGCTCTCTCCTTCCAAGAACCGTGCTTTTTGGTTCCGCTGCATGTACATGCTGGTCTGGGGCAAGTTTGTGCTGTACAAATATGTCACCTGTTGGCTGGTCACAGTAAGTAAAAAAGATGAAATGGGGTCCTATTTAGACAAGCTGGGGTGGCGAGGGAGGAAAGTGGCAAGAATCTGGAGCTGTCCCCTCCCTCAGGAAGGCGTCTGCATTTTGACGGGGTTGGGCTTCAATGACTTTGACGAAAAGGGAGAGGCCCGGTGGGACGCCTGCGCTAACATGAAGGTGTGGCTCTTTGAAACCACCCCACGCTTCACTGGGACCATCGCCTCCTTCAACATCAACACCAATGCCTGGGTGGCCCGGTAAGCGGCGGGGTGTGGGGGGTGGGTAGGGGGGTGGCAGAACCATGCCCAGCTTCTTCCTCTCACTGCTTTCCCAGATTGGGGGCAAGGATACAGTAGGTTACTTACCTCTACTTCCCGCTTTGGGGGGAATTTCTGGCCTGTTACTCTCACATGTTGGCTTTTATTCCCACTCCAAAACCCATTGCTGCCATATTTGAAAAAGCAAATATATGTGAATTGGGTATGGGTTTTAATCCCAGCTCTGCCACTGCCCTATTTATGAACACCTCTGCTTATCTGTCCCCACCAGCGCATCAGCAGCATGAGCTGGTCTGCCCATCACCCCTGCAGTGGCAGCACCAGGCTCAGCGCACACGCAGTAGTAATGGCTTCCCCACGATCACCCTACTAAGCTGTGGCTCTGAAATCCGTGTCTCCAAGTCCACTGCCTTCATCTCTAATGCTCAGCAGGTGGCACTTCTTCCCTCACTGGCCACCCCCACTGCACTTCTTAGGGCACTGAGGACCCAGAGGCATGATGAGGGAGCAGGTTGGCGTGTAAGACTAACCTGAGGCTCATCTTTAACCCACCCTTTTCTCTAGTTACTTCTTCAAACGACTCAAGTTCCTTGGGAACAAACAACTGTCCCAAGGTCTCTCCTTGCTATTCTTGGCCCTCTGGCACGGCCTACACTCAGGGTACCTGGTCTGCTTCCAGATGGAGTTCCTCATTGTTATCGTGGAGAGGCAGGTAGGCCTTAAGGGTGCTGGGTGAGGGAAAGATGAGAAGAAACAAGATACCCATGACCTCTCCCCCGGTCCCCCAGGCCTCCAGCCTCATTCGAGAGAGCCCCCTTTTGAGCAGCCTGGCTTCCATTACTGTCCTCCAACCCTTGTACTACTTGGTGCAGCAGACCATCCACTGGCTCTTCATGGGTTACTCCATGACTGCCTTTTGCCTCTTCACATGGGACAAGTGGTTTAAGGCAAGTGAAAGCGTTCTTGCCAAAATCGCGGTAATCACAAGACACCTGATGCAGGAGGGCTATTCCATGCCCTCCATCTGCCTCAGTGGCCTCTCTCTCCCCACAGGTGTATAAATCCATCTATTTCCTCGGCCACGTCTTCTTCTTGAGCCTACTAATCATATTGCCTTACGTTCACAAAGCAATGGTGCCAAGAAAAGAGAAGTTAAAGAAAATGGAATAATCCATTTCCCTGGTAAGCAGCCAGCTAAGCAGAAACTACCAGGTCATGGCACAGTGATGAGGGGATGGGAAAGACAGCATTGAAGCTTGGGGGGACTCGCAGATAACCTGGCTTCTGGGGGAACAGTGTGGAGCGCTGACTAATGTAGGTTGCCAGAGACCGAGCTCCAGGAATCACTCTCAGCAGCCTCGCCGTGGGCTTTCTCCTCCTGCAGGTGGCCTAGAGCAGGACTGGTGCAGGAACGTCTCCCTTTTCACAGCACTCCTTCGCCAGAGACCACAGCAGCCAGGAGCGGGAAGACATGGCACACCTAGCGTGCCTCTGCTGCCAGCCAAGTCTTCATTTGGGGCCAAAGGGGAAACTCTTGTGGGAGGAGCAGAGGGGCCCCCATTTCTCCCCTCTGGGCTCCCCCATGCACGTTGCCTTATCTCTCCCCCTCTAGCCAGGAATCTGTTGTGTTTTATTCTGCCAATTTACTATGATTGTATATGTGCCGCTACCACCACCCCCCCCATGGGGGGGTGGGGAGGGGTACAAGGCCCTGCCTGCTCCACTTTTTCTACCTTGGAACTGTACCAGATAAAATCACTTCCGTTTGTTCAGTTTTTCATTGCTAGCACTGCCGGCTGCTTTCTTTCCAACACAGTTCTCATGTTAGTCACTGCTGAAGTAAGCAGGGCCCTTTCCTGTAGAGCACAGTGATCTGGGAAATGATCTGAAGCCTGTCTGCAAAGCCCAGAACCAAACTGCAAACACTGTAACCTATGTCTTTCCCTGAAGACTGACAATCACCACTCAACACCACTAGATACTGCTGGGTTTAGGATCCCCAAAGAAGGACCAAGTTTGCAAGAACAGTATTTATAGGATAAACAAATAACAAATGTGCGGGCTGGCTTCCCCAACTCCATAGTCTCCATGCAGGAGGGTCACCTCCTAGCCATTGCTTGAGAGCAGGACCAAGGAGGCAATATCAGCAGTCTCTGTGTTTCAGAACACGGTTCTGTCAAATGATGCCCCAGGCTTCTTCAAAGGCTGTTGTCACCTTTGCACACGTGAGGGCTGCAGAAAGGGGATAGTTGCTGATGGACACCATCTTCTCCGTGTACTCCACATTGACCTAGAAAGAGTAGTTCTGTCAGCCCACTCTCACTCTGTAACAGACTCAGTCCTTCCTCAGAGCAGGAAAAACAACTGCTCTTGGAAGCCTGCAGCTTCAGCTTGATGAACATGAGCACTGAGCTGACATTACCTGGCCGTGGGCAAAAGCGCCCACCACAAAAACGATAGGGTCACTGCTGGGCACCAACTCTCGCACATCACTGACAACTGGGACAGAAAAAGAAGTGCCAATCTTCATGCATCCAACTGGAAAGTGATCCGACACAGGATTCTTAATTACCTGGAAGAAAAAAAGAATCAACCCCAGGAACATTCTCAAAACCCTACCTCCAACCAGCAGTTTCAATACCTCACCTTCAAGAGCTTCTGAGGGCCATCAGCTGCTCGAACACTGAGTTTGTGTAAAAGTTGAACTGGAGAGAGGGGGAAAAATTTTTAAAAAAAGAGTTCAGAGCTAGATGGAGAACCCTCTTGTTTGGCCCAGTGATCTAAGCAGAAAACCCCTATGTAAGGAGGAGCTCCTGTGTCCTTCCAGCCACGCTGTGCTCCTGAGGTGCTATGAATAAGCTGCTTTCAGGGACCACCAGCTGTACTGTGAGGGCCTCGCTCTCCCCCTTTCCTCTCAGCCAGGAATCCCTGTACAAGCAAAGATAATGGTCAAGAGCCCTTCTGTAGCAAAAATCGAACCCTCCCACTAAAAAACTCCACATTTAACTTATCCCTTTTCCCCTCTCTTTGTTTAAGTCCTAAGGCTTCTTACCCATGAGGCCACAAAAACGGTCAAAGGTCCTGGGAATACGAGTCTGGGGGTTCACTTCAATCAGCACATTCTTCTGTGTGTGGATGTAAACCTGAAGCAAGCCAGCACGGTTCAGGGGACTGTCCATCAGCATCAGTAAACTCTGAGGGAGGCAGAAACCAAGGCACAGTTAAAACATGAAGTAGCTCACAGCTGCCTAGCCTTATATAGAAAGGCTCAAGGGGTGTGGAGCTGTGCCCTGGAGTCACCTGGTGAGCGATGTCTGGTCTCACTTCCCCAGGATCCCGTCCGTTCTTTAATAATATAGACTTGTGCTTGTCACAGTTGAGTAGCTCATATGTCTTCCCGACCTGAAAGACAGGGAACAAGATGGAGAGCAATTTAAGCTTCTCTAACCTAGCACAGCAGTCCCCAAAGCAGCATCTACCGAACCAGAAACCCGGGGGGTGGGAACCAGCAAGCCTTGAGTAATCCCTGAGAGGATTACTGTGGCCACATTTGCCCTCCCTCCCTTCCCGAGGCAGCTGAGCACAGAAGGGGAAAAGAAGGGCACAACCTGTGATCTCTCATGATTAAACTGAATTTAATTTAAAACCTGTGGCTTGGGCCTCCCTGCTGGCACAGGAGTTAAAGTCTCAGCGCTATCAAGCTATCACCAGCCACTGTGGCATGAGTTCGATCCCCAGCCAGGGAGCTACCCCACAGGTGCAGCAGACCTCTCCTGTCTCGCCCATTGCTCCCCTCATCAGTGTATTTCAGTAGATCTGCCTGTTCTGCTCCCCACTCTCTCTGGTGAATCCTCTCACACACACTCCCCGCACCCCAGTTCTTGTATGCATAAATAAATAAAAATAAAACTTTAAAATAAATAGATAAAACCTGTGGCTACTAGGCAAAGCCACCAAGGAATTCTGGAGCAAGGTAGGAGTCAGGTTAGTGAACAAGGCTGCCTGCTTAGCACACAAGCATTACGTATATACTGGACAAAGGATGCATGGTCCCTGTCTCAGTTTGCTTATAAGAAACATGCAGTAAAGGAAGAGATGCAAATGTGAACAGGAAGAGGTGTGAACATGCTAGTGATGCAGGAGGTAGTTAATCAGGAATGTTTCCCAGAAGCCAAAGAGGGATGTTGCCAGTTTTAAGATTGGCATATGCAAAGGTATGGATATGAAGCCAAAATGTGAAGACAAGTGATGCTAGAAAAGTGGAAATAAACATTGAAGGGCCATGACTATACATGAAACTATAAACTGCAGAATCATCAACTTCCAAGCACAAAGGAGTAATTGTGGAATATGAGAATGAGGAATATTATTCTGGCAACTGTGTACAGCAGCTAGAGTTTAAAGATCTACCTAGAAATGCATAGTAGATCTACCTAGAAATGTGTATTAACTAAAAGAAATAATTACAAATTATTTGGAGTCCTAAGGAGCATTAATTAAGATGATCAGTAAAGTCTAAAAGCATTAAGTAAAAATACAGGTTTTGAAAGTAATTTTTGCATATCAACAGAACACTGGTTTATGCCAGGCAACATCCTGAGACATGTGACTCCCAAAAGTTTGGGGGAAGAGTGATAACGGAACAGATGATAGGACAAAAGATAGTAGCTAAAAAAAAAAAAAAAAAAAACAGGGCCTCCCCTGGTGGCACAGCGGTTGAGCGCTGGGTTGCAAAGCTGCCCGCAGCCTCTGCAGCGCCGGTTCAATCCCCGGCTGCTCCCCGGCCACCGGAGGAGGGTCCCACATGGCGCACAGACCTCTCCTGCCGCCCACTGCTCCCCTCAGCAGTGTACTTCAGTCCTTCTGCCTGCTCTGCTCCCTGCTCTGGCTCTGGTGAATTCTCTCACCCTCCCGCGCTTCTGACTGTACCCAGTGCTTGTATAAATAAATAAATAAATCTTTTAAAAAAAAAAAAAACAAGAATGTCACAGAGTAAGCAAAGAACAAAAACAAAGGACCAAGAACTAAGTCCCTTGGGACACTCTTAGTTTTTTAAGAAAAAGAACATCTTGATAGAAGAATCCCATTTCAACTCTTTCATACCAGGGTTTGGTTACATATAGTTGAGGGTGTAATGGCTGACAATGTAATTTTTCTATTGTGGTTGTGATTAATAAACTTGAAAACTACTAACTAGAAATTTTGGGGAATGAATACTATGTGTATTCATTTTCTGTAGTAGGTACTGCAGGTTGAAGAAGGAGGTTTTTATTTTTTTAAGATTTATTTTTATTTATGCATACAAGAACTGGGGTGTAGGCCCGGGGGTGCAGGGGGTGAGAGGATTCACCAGAGACAGTGGGGAGCAGAACAGGCAGACTGAAATACACTGCCGAAGGGAGCAGTGGGCAAGACAGGAGAGGTCTACTGCGCCATGTGGGTTAGCTCCTTTGGCCAAGGATCCAACTTATGCCACAGTGGCTGGCGGTAGCTTGACGGCCCTGAGACTTTAACTCCTGCACCACCAGGGAGGCCCAGAAGAAGGAGGTTTTTAAACCTTATTTGCTGCCCTCATAGCTTTCTAAATGGAGGAAACTGAGCAAATAATCACATGAATATTTAATTCAAGTTGTGATAAATATGAAGGAAAAGTAAATCGTTCATTAAAGAATCATAACAAGAGAACCTGACTTATACCAGGAGGGAGTCAATTTATGAGGAAGTAACATTTAACCTAATTGAAGAACCAGTATTATAGAGACTCAGTAACTGTTACATGAATAAACATGAAGTAGGAGTTAATGAGACAAAGAGATGAGTAACAGGAGCTTCCAGTTAAAGAACATGAAGTGCAATGGCTTTAAAGAATAAGAGTGGAGGGCCTCCCCGGTGGCGCAGCGGTTGAGCGCTGGGTTGCAAAGCTGCCCGCAGCCTCTGCAGTGCCGGTTCAATCCCCGGCTGCTCCCCGGCCTCGGGAGGAGGGTCCCACATGGCGCGCAGACCTCTCCTGCCGCCCGCTGCTCCCCTCAGCAGTGTACTTCAGTCCTTCTGCCTGCTCTGCTCCCCGCTCTGGCACTGGTGAATTCTCTCACCCTCCCGCGCTTCTAACTGTACCCAGTGCTTGTATGTATCAATCAATCAATAAATAAATCTTTAAAAAAAAAAAAAAAAAGAATAAGAGTGGGCCTCCCTGGTGGCGCAAGGGATTAAGATGCAACCTTTGAAGCTATCCACAGCCACTGCAGCATGAGTTCTCTCCCCAGCCAGGGAGCTACCCACATGGTGCAGCAGACCTCTCCTGACTCACCTGCTGCTCCCCTCAGTGTATTTCAGTCGATCCACCTGTTCTGTTGCCCACTCTAACTTTGGTGAATCCTCTCACCCCCACACCTCTGGCCTGTACCCCAGTTCTTGTATGCATACACAAATCTTTAAAAAAAAAAATAAAGAATAGGAGTGCTTTCAAAGAGCTTGAAGACTAATAAGGCTGGAGTATAAGGAATAAATGGTGAGAGCAGGGCCAGGTGAGAGTGGCAGAAACAAGAGGTACCACCAGCACAAGGAAAGCAAGAGATAACTCTACAAAAGATTTCAACTAGCTATGATTTTTTCACCCTTGATGATTTGGCTTCAATTCTTCCACAGCATGCTCTAGGAGTTTTAATTTGACCATGACCTTTTCAATTCATTAAGTAACATGGAATCAATAACTAATTACAAGTGATAGACATTATTCTAAACCCTTACATATCAATATATTAACTCCTCAATCCCCTCAACAACCCAAGAAAATAGGTACTACTATCCCCAGAAAACAATGAAGAAACAAAGTGATTAAGTGACATTCCAAATTAATAGGCTGGAAAGAGTAATTGAGTGAGGGATGAATATAAGACCTATTAACTGGATTAGAAATAGAAATTACATAAAAAATGAAAGAGGGAAGCAACTTTTTAAAAGGGAGTGGGGGAAATGCAAGTAGTTCCATGGTTGAGGAAAGTAAGATGGAAAAGAATCACACCATACCACATGGAAGTGTCCTACATATTAAGCACTTTCATGACAATCACCCCCTCTGTGGTTCACCATGTATTAACCCACTCTTTGTTACAAATTGAGGACCAAACTTATTTTCTCAAATTCACATAAAATAAGTGTAAAACACAAGATTAAAATCCAGGTCTGACTTCTAAATCAGTGTTATTTCTTCTGAATTTACTCAATAAGCTTGGCTCTAAAGAGTTATGAGAAAGAATAAAAACACTGCATGAAGTTTTAACATACAGAACTGCTGGGTTTATTAGGTAAAATATTAAATGAAAACCTTAACAGTGTTTTGAAGTAAGATTTAAAAAAAAAAAAAAAAGACTGACCCTTTAACTGGAAAGGTCTTAAAATTAAAAGGGTAGGCAGAGGCTACAGTAACCTAATGGCCTCTCCTTTGCCCAGTAACTTGTGTTGGGATGTGGAAAGACGCGCAGACGAGCCTCTCCTCCCCTTAAATTACTTCTTCCACAGAATCTTGGGTAAACCAACTGAAAACAAGGATGTGACGAGTGTCACGGGATTCAAGAAGGGCAGGAGAAAAACACTGCCAACCCAGGATGTTAAGAGACAGTCAACTAAGTCACTGTTCCCATGGTACACCTCTGTTGATTTTCTCCATCCATTCTAGCCCCACATCCTCATCCCAAAAGGTCCCATCCTCTATGGAGCTACAACTCCCCCGTTTCCTTGCCCCAAACTACCTTGACTGTCTCCAGACTGGCCCCTTCCAGCACCACAATGAGCCTTCGGCCTCCGATCTTGCTTCCCGCCACGAATCGGGGTCGCTTAGGCGCCACAGCATCCCAGTCCTGTTCTTGCTCCGCGGCGCGCCGCTCACGAGGTTGGAATCCACCACTGGGCGCAGCCATGTTACAATCGGACCGGAAGTTGTGCTAACGTACTTAAATTAGAACCTCGCGCTCGCTCTCATCCCAGCCATACTTCTGGCTGCCATCTTGAAAGTGGGCACTTGGAAAGGGCGATGGCCTGGTGTCTGGCGCTTCCGAAGCCACTGCGGGAGGCAGAATTCCAGAGAGGGGCGGGAACTTCCGGATGCGTGCTTCCTGTGCGCGAGGATCGGGCCCGCAGTGGGCAGGAGGGGGAGGGTTTAGAAGGGAGCGCACTTCCGGTGCCCTTTCTCCCGCAAGCGCTCCGGGCCCCGGACCCTCGTGGGAAGGGTGTGATCCCGAAACTGGAGTGGGGTAGAGGCGGGCCGGCACCCGCTTCTGACTTCGGGTGCCACCGGCCCCAAGATCGGACATGGCCCAGAACTTGAAGGACTTAGCGGGACGGCTGCCCTCCGGGCCCCGGGGCATGGGCACGGCGCTGAAGCTGCTGCTGGGTGCTGGGGCCGTGGCCTACGGTGTGCGCGAGTCCGTATTCACCGGTGAGCAGCCTCCGCCCGCTCTCCGGACGTCTCCTGCCCTTCCCCGGACCCCCTGCCCTGTCCCGCCAGGTTCCCGCGCTCCTTTAGCTCTTCACCCTCCCCACCAGAGCCTGGCACGTACTCTGAACTGTGGCCTGACCTGATCCCCACCTCTCTCCCCACAGTGGAAGGCGGGCACAGAGCCATTTTCTTTAATCGGATCGGTGGAGTGCAGCAGGACACCATCCTGGCCGAGGGCCTTCACTTCAGGTAATGGCGGGCAGAGCGGACTGACCCTGACCCTTCACCCTTGGACGCTCACCCACCAATGGCTATATAGTAAGTCTTGCAATAACTCAGCGCCCGTCTTTCCTCACCCCATCTCCCACGACTATGATGCTGCCCCGAACCGTAGCAGCATATAAAGTTGGCCAAAGAGAGAAGAGAATCGCTCCTTGTCCATGGTCACTTGGAGGCCAAGAAACACGTGGTGAGAGCAAAACTAGTGAAACAGCAGTCTGCTAATACTTGTCCCTGTGCCCTTCCCTCCAGGATCCCGTGGTTCCAGTACCCTATCATCTATGACATTCGGGCCAGACCCCGAAAAATTTCTTCCCCCACAGGCTCCAAAGGTAGGTTTGGGTACTTGGCTGTCACAAGTAAAGTAAGGGAGCCTGGCCAGAGACCTGAGGAGAAGGTAGTGGAGGCAGATCCCTTGGGCCTTTGGGTCAGCTTCATCTGCAAATGAACTTTAACAAAAGTACCTGCCTTCTGGGGTTAAAACATCACATCCTAGACACGTTGTGTGAGTGTACATTTTTATTAACTGTTCTTCTCCATAAACTCAGGGAGAACATCAGCTGTATTTGTCTACTTCGCTACCTAGATCAGAACCTTGTTTTAAATCCTCATTTCTTCTAATTCCTCAAGTTAACTATATCCAGTAGTGTGCTCTGTCCAGAGGATCATAGCCCCACTCTTCACTCACGCACCTGTTCCCTCCTAGAACCTGTGCCTTTGAAACTCCCAGACCCCTTTCGCATGCGTAGACATAGACACAGGTCTATGTCTTACTGAGGCAAGTATTTCACCTGTCATGTATCTTTTTGTAATGTTTCATACTAGTCACGATCTAAACCCTAAAGCCTGGGAAGAAAGGATTCATAAAACTCAATCCTTGTCTTCAGTTCTTCGAGTCTAGTAAGAGGCAGATAATTAAGGCACAGCGTGACATAGCCCACTATAGAGGTTACACAAAGCACAGTGGAAAAAAGAGGGATGAACTTACCTGATGGAGGGGTTGTAGGTAGAGAAGACTTCCCTGTGGATGAGGGCATACATGGCCTTGCCAAGTGACATCTTGTCACCCTGATTACCCTTCTCCCCACAGGGATGTCAGACTGCACAAGATTGCATTAGGCATGGAGGGAAGCACGAGGAGATGAAAATGCTTGGAGAAGTGTGTTGGGTTGAGGTTAAATGAGGCTCCCCTTGCCTTGACCAGGCACTGCTGACTTCTCTCTTAGACTTGCAGATGGTGAACATCTCCCTGCGTGTGCTCTCTCGACCCAATGCTATGGAGCTTCCCAGTATGTACCAGCGTCTGGGGCTAGACTACGAAGAGCGAGTATTGCCATCCATCGTCAACGAGGTGCTCAAGAGTGTGGTGGCCAAGTTCAATGCCTCCCAGTTGATCACCCAGCGAGCCCAGGTCTGAATTTAGCCCCCAACCCCATGGTGTCATTATTTCCCTTCTAAGCCCAAGATTCTGGGCATTAGGAAAGGCAGCTTGGTAGGAAAGCATGTGAGCCTGGTTCCATTTCCACCTAGAAGCTGTACTAATGACAACTGTAGAAACAAGGAGAGCCAAGACTGGGACTTGGGGCAGTTGGTGTACAGAAGCAGAGGAGAAAACCATGTCAGAGTGTAAGGGTGCTTGTTGTATTAGAGAGACTGGAAGATGAGTTAGTGTGGTGCTCATGTCTCCCCTCTGCCTGTCCCATTTATCAAATGAAAAGATTGGACCAAGTCCTTTCCAACTCAGGTGCCTTCGCGAGGCACTAAGGAGATTTAGTTTAAGGAAAATGGTTTTCCACCATTCAGAAAGTCACAGCAACGCCTTCCTTTGGTTCTTCAGTCCCCTCATACTGCCAATCCCTTACCCTTGCCCCACCCCCAGGTATCCCTGTTGATCCGAAGGGAACTGACAGAGCGAGCCAAGGACTTCAGCCTCATTCTGGATGATGTGGCCATCACAGAGCTGAGCTTCAGCCGGGAGTACACAGCTGCTGTGGAAGCCAAACAAGTGGGTGAGTTACCAGAGCAGAGGGGCAGGAGTGTCTGAGGATATGGGAGGGTAGCGTTCTTGACACCGCATACCTATGCCCCTCTGCCTCTTCCTCGGCATCCCAGCCCAGCAGGAGGCCCAGCGGGCCCAATTCTTGGTGGAAAAAGCAAAGCAGGAGCAGCGGCAGAAGATTGTGCAGGCCGAGGGTGAGGCTGAGGCTGCCAAAATGATATCCTTCTGTCAGAAAGCCCTCGAAGCATCTCCCTTTCCTGTGCCTTCCTGTCCTCCCTCAATGGGCCGGCTGATGAGACTAAGGCGAATGCGACTCTGTGCTCTGGTCCTTGGCTCCCGGGGGGGGGGGGGGGGTTTCAAATGGCATCTGAAATCTTAGTGGGGGTACCTGAGACCTGGCTCCTCACTGTAAGGCAGATCAATAGCACTGCTGGCCTTGCCTCCATTTCTGCTGCTGCCCCCAGTTCCTGGCAGCTGCCTGCAGGGGGGCCTACAGGTGGGGACCAAAGTAGGACTAAGCACGAATCCTCTGAGCGCAACCTTGGATCTGACAGTCCAGGAGGGTTGTTGAGGGGAGCAGTGAAGATGGAGTTGGGGGTGGAAACCTGGCCTTATTTGAACCCTTAACCCCACCTTCTCACCTGGGAGAAGCATTGAGCAAGAACCCAGGTTACATCAAACTGCGTAAGATCCGCGCGGCCCAGAACATCTCCAAGACGGTGAGTGGGGGCCCCATACCCCTCAAGACTGCCTTGTGTGAACATGTTTTCAGTTAAAGCATATTGGAGTGAGGGAATTAGAATCTTGTTCAGTTTTCTACTTAGAGTGGCTTCTCTGTCCCTCACACGCCCCCTAATCTTCTGTTGGTACCTGTCGTGAGCCAGCAAGTCACAGTTGCTCACGACTCCAGACCTCCCATGTGTAATCTCATCCCTGCGTCCCTACTCCTCACCCATGTGTTTTCCACTCATGATACTGAATTGCAAGGACAGTGGTACAGGTGTTCTTTGCTTCATGTGAGCGTGTCTTTCCTGCCCTGCAGATCGCCACCTCCCAGAACCGGATCTATCTCACCGCTGACAACCTTGTGCTCAACCTGCAGGATGAAAGCTTCACTCGGTGAGGGCCATGACCTGCACAGCAGGAAGTTGGGGAGGCCGTGACAATTGAGTGGTCTCTTGGGCTCACCAGCATGTTCATGTGGCCCTTAAAAAAACCATTTGGGTGAATCAAAGTTAAAAAAGTGGGATTGTTAACCCTTACTGTCTTGCATCTTGTAGGATTTGATTTTATGAGATCAAATAGGATTATTCATGTGAAAAGTAATCGTAAAGTTTTGTCTAACTGGGAAGCAGTGAGGATTATTGCTGTTCTTCCTGGAGAGCCTTAAGTCTGCTGCTGAGCATGGAAGGGAGGGTTAAGAAGGAGGTAGAAAACAGCGCTGACGGTCTCTTTCCAGAGCCTGCGCTTCCTGGCTTCTAGTCCTTTGTCTTTTTCTTTGGGGAGCAAAGGAGGGTTTAGAGCTGGGTGGGGCCTGAAGCTGCCAAATCACATGTGTATTTCTCTTCTCTCCTGTTTCCTGTTCATCTGGTGATCTGGTATTCACAGGGGAAGGTAAGTTGTTGACACAGCCTTATTCCTATGGGGTCCTGCAGCTCCTCTCTGGGTACCTGCCTCCCCCCAGCACACAACTTTTCCACACATACTCCTTCAGTCTGGGAGAAGGGAGTGGCCTGGGGTGCTCTGCCTCTCACATTTCTGTCCCCTAACAATGCCACTCATCCATCTTATTTCTGCAGTGACAGCCTCATCAAGGGTAAGAAATGAGCCCGGGTGACCAAGATCTCCACCCCCAGAGAGCAAGTGGATTTGTTTCTCCCCTGGTTTTTGAGGAGCCAGCTCCCTCCCCCCATTCCCCTTTATCATGTGATGGTCCCCTCTGCACCTGACCACCTGGGCCTTGGATGAGTGAAGACTGACCCATTTTCAGGGGAACAACTTTCCTCCTCCCTGTGTGGCCAGGGTTGTTGGGACAGTGTGTGATTTCTAGATGATTTCCTATAGTGTTGGTTCCTCCCTCAAAGCTGGGAGGCAATAACCATCCCAGGAATTCTCAATAAATTTTTATTACTTAAGCTGGAGTCAAGGCTTAACGTGTCTGAGCTGGGGGGGTGGGGGGTGGCGGGGGTGGGAGGCACGCATGCGCACCTCACATAACACGCCCGGGTCTTTATCTGCCAGCAGGGGGCGTGAGGACTCTATGCTGGGCAGTTAGGCAAGCACAGGGCCTGACCCTGGAAGCCCTGCAGAGTGGTATCCCAAGCAGGCCCCAAGCTGGGAGCAGCCTGCCTCACTGCACTCTGCCACGCCCTCCATTTCTACCACAGTACCCTGTTTACAAACATCTCCTTTTTAAGGCTGGAGCAGCTGTGGCTTTGCTGAGCTAGACCAAAAAATCTGATTACCCCAACAGGAGCTGCTTCCTTGGTAACAGTTCATGTGGCTGTGGAGACCATTTGTGCCTATTTGAAGACCAGTGGGTAGTGCCCACAGTCACTAGATGTGAGCTCTGTCCTTGGAGGTGGGCCCTTCACAGAGGAGCAGGTGTCTGCTGAGACCAATGTGAGCAGCTGCATAGCCTTCCCAAGCCTGCCCTCGCTGAATCACAAGCTCTGGGGAGAGGAAGCCACTGCTTGCGCCTATATGCCATGACGGCTCTTATTTCCTGTCCCTGTCCTTATGAGTGGGGACATTTAGATGCCCCTGGGCACGAAAAAAGTATTAAGAGGTATTATAAAATGTGTAGGAGGGGGAAGAGGGGAGTTTTACCGGGTTAGAGGGGCTGGGTTCATCTTCAGTTGCTTTGATTTCGAAGGAGGTAGATTCATTTCCCCTGTTCTGACGGCAACCCCACTCCTCTGAGTTTTCCAGCCAAAGATGAGATTGACAGACAAAAGAAGGGTCAAGTGACCTGAGTCAGCCTGCCGAGTGTCTTTATTTTTCGCATTCCCCAGGTGGGAAGAAAACAGAAGCAAATCCTGCCCCTCCTCTAGAGGCAGCCATTTTGTCTCCTCCCCATTGTAGCCCTTTTCTTAGTGATTTACCTCCCCATCCAGAGGTCTAAAGGTCAGTTGTTGGTCGGAAGGCCTCCACAATCTTCGGGGCTTCCTGAAGGTCACTGCTGAGGGAACCAACCCGGGAGCCATCTTTACCAGACAGTGTTAGGAGCTTCACAATTAGACCATCCAACACTGTTCTGGAAGATGGACCCAGAGTCGGCCAACGTGCACCTCCGGGCTAGAGCTGACCAGTTGCTACAGGGACTCTGGCCACAAGCCAGGTGAGGCTGCTTGAGAATACTCGAGTCAATCCCACAAACTCAAGGTCAGCTGAGGGTGCTGGATCCACCAGATGACAAATCACAATGGTTGGGGGAGGGGCTCGGGCCATTGTGTCCCTCCGGTGGGCAACCAGCCAATTAAGAGCCAACTCTTTTGCCGCACCTTTCGCTCAAAATGAAGGGGCTTCCCGGGTAGTCAGTCGTTCCAGAGGGGATTACAACTGGTAGAGAACTAGGGGCCTAGGACGATGAATGTCGCTGACACAGGGATAGGGGCCTCCATCATTACCCGGCAGTATTAGAGACTCCCAACCAGCACCCAAACACTGCTGGGTAAGACGGGGTCCCCCACCCAATCTGCCCACCTCCAGGACTGGAAGTCCTAGGCCCAGGCTCCCAGCGGAGAGGCTACAGAAACTGGTTCCCATCCCCCCACCACCAGCCTCCCTGGGGACACTTCCGGGTGAGCCCTGTAGCCCGCCACCAGCCCCACCCAGAGTTGCAGATCGACTGAGCCCCAGGCCAAACTAAGGGAGACCCCAGCCCATCAGTTCTCCACCTCTAAGCCTCTTGCCCGCCACCCCCATAGCCTGCCCCTGCCCCATACACACCAATTCACCCGCCTTCAGCCCCCTCTGCAGTCCCCGCTCAGCCCCAGGACCCTTCTCCTGGCGGCTTTTACCTGTCACCCAGCAGTCTGCCCCCTGAAAGTGAGTGCGGAGGACAGCAACGGGGGTCAGGGCCTGTATTCCGAGGCCTAGAGCCCGCCCAAGCTCCGCTCTTCCTCCTTCCTTCTCCGCCGCTGCTGCCGCCGCCGGCAAGGCAACGCAGACTCCTCACCTGGGCCCCGCCCGCCGCCCCTGCGCACAGGTGTGTCCTCCTGCCATAGGCTGCCCCCCCACTGCCTTAACCCCTTCCCTCCCAGCGCCAGCAACAGGCGCCTCCTCTGAGGCCTGCTCACCCTACTAGGCCTCCCACCCTTTCCTGGGGTCTCTACTCTGGGACAAGCCTCCTCTACATCCAGGGCCCAGACTAGGGAATATGGTCTCCAGAGGGACAAAGGGAGGGGCTGTCTTTGGGTCTTTTACCATCCTCCTTGTCTTCCCCCCACAGCAGTTCCTGCACCCTCCTCCCCAGCCCCTTCCTCTGTGGCTTCAGACCCTGTGCCTGGATGGAGCAAACGGGGGCTAAAACCCTGAGGTCAGCAAGGGGTCAGCTCAGTAGGGATGAGGTTTGTCCCAGTCCCAAAGCCTGGCCTGTGCTGGAACGTCCCTGCCTTGGAGGGCAGCATGTTCCCCATTCTCACTCCAAATGTTGGGGTACTTACCCCTGCCCAGAGGCCCAAACTGGCAGGAGCATCTGCTCTGACCCTGCCCATTAAAGTAGGAAGCTGCTTTCCCTCAACCCCCAGCAGCCTGCCTGCGTTAGACCCAGTCTCCCCCACCCTCACCACCTTGCTGACTCTAAGGGACAACCCAGCAGGCCTTGGGGCAGAGTTGCTCCAGGACCCAGCTCACAGCCCAGTCCAAGTACCAGCCCCAAGGCAATTAGCCCCAAGGCGGTTATTAGAGGGGGCGGGGCATACCTGCCTTCTTTTGTGCAGCTCAAGCTGGAGAAGAAAGGGCGTTGCTGGGAGAGGGGCCCTGAGGCCCACAGGTGATGCCCCACCCACCCACCCCCTGGAGGGCCGTAGCTCCGGGAGCTATTGTGCTGGTTGCCCAATCTGCCTAAGCTCAGCCCGCCCTCTCTCTCACCTACTCTTTGTTTGCATCCTTAATACCTGTCTGTACTTATTTTTGCGGCTGTTTCTGGGTCTGTCTCCTCTACCAGCTTCCGTAGTCCCCGGAACCTGCTCGCTTGCCATGCGCCCCTAGCACTGCCCCAGCACCTGTGACACAGCAGCCGCCCGATGAAGAAAGCTTGCCAAGCAAGTGGAAGTCACATCCAAGACCCTCCACCTACTCCTCAGCCTCTGAGTCAGGAGGCAGCCAGTTCCTCCTGAGCAGGCAGACCTCTCACAGGCCTAACTCACCAGGAGACTGGCATTTTAAATCAAGCTAGAACCCTCAAACAAAGAAGGAATCACAGAGAGTCCACTGTGGACACAGGAGAAGGAAGAGGGTCAAAAAAAATAAAACTGATCAGAAATGTGAAGGTGGCCGTGATCCCAGCAAAGGGAGGAGCAGGGCACTCCCAGGAGAGCCCAGAGAGCAGAGGGGATGCTGGGGGCAGTGGTGTTAGGCCCGTGTACATTTCCTTGGATCTAGAGTTCGCACCAGGAGTGTGCGGCTGTGTCCTCGGCAAGGTGAACCCTGTAGGCATCTCTAGTGTGAGGGTGTCTGGGGCCCCTCAGCCTGAGTTCATGTTTTCACTGCTCAACAGTCCTGTGACCTTGAGCAAGTTATTTAATCTATCTGTACCTCAGTTTCCCCCACTGCAAAATGGAAATTATACAAGTACCTAGATTGAATTAATACAGGTAGTCTTTTAAACAGTGCCCGACACATGACAAGCATGTGGTCACACTTTTATTGCCGTGACCACCACCATCAATTGTCTCAACAACCTTCACGAATATCCTCCACTTTATTTTTTTTTTAAGATTTATTTTTATTTGTACAAGAACTGGGGTACAGGCCAGAGGCGTGGGAGGGTGAGAGGATTCACCAGAGACAGAGTGAGGAGCAGAACAGACAGACAGACCGAACACACTGCTGAGGAGAGCAGCAGGTGAGGCAGGAGAGGTCTGCCGCACCACGCGGGCAGGCATCTCCCTGGCCGGCCGGGAATTGAACCCGTGCTGCAGAGGCTGCTGACAACTTCACAGCCCTGCACTCTGCATCACCGGGGAGGCCCAAACACCCTCCACTTTAAAGAGGCTCTGGAACTGGTTACAGTCACATTCCAGGTTGCCAAGCAGAGACCAGAATGAGGTCTGTAGGTGGCGGCCGAGCTTTCATACCCCCACACACCAAGCCTAGCCCGCCTCCCCCTCCATCCTCTTCTGGCCCTCCCCAGGCAGGCACACCGAGTTAGAGACCCACACAGGTGATCCCAGGGCTTTATTTACATGAGCAGAAGGGCTTGGCCCAGGGGCTGGGGCTTGCTGGGTTATGTACAGGGTCAGGGAGAGGGAGGTGGGATCACACGTTTAAATTACAATAGACTGGGGGTGGATCCTCGGGTTCAGGCAGCCGGGCCATCCAGGGAGGCCTCTGAAGGGATCAGAGCCACGAGAGCTGCAGAGAGAAGGGAGTAAGAGGCTGTCTGTAACCTGGGGAGGGAGGGCTGGTTAGGGCAGGATGAGGCTCGGGACGCTGGGGCAGCACAGGGAGAGCAGGGGGGTGCTGTACCGTGGCTCCTCAGGGCCTGTCTGCCTCATTTCCTCTTAAGGGAACCTTTGCTCTTCTCCTTGTCCGCTGATCTCTGCTTCTTCACCTTCTCCTCCTTCTTGTTCTTGCTGGACAGGTTCTCATACAGCTCTTCCTTATGTCTGCAAGGGGTGCAGGTCAGGAGACAGAGTGGGGTGACCCAGCCCCAGCAGCCCCCTCTGAGGCCAGGAAAACAAGGATACCTGGCCTTGTCCTACACCAAACTAGAAGCTTCATGGGGGCGCAGGTGGCATCTCACACATTAATGCCTGCACATCCCCTCAGATGGTAAGAACCAAGCTTGAACTTGAATCTCCAGGACCGTCCCCCTCATCCACTCTGGAAAGTGAGGGTCAGGCTATGGAGGAGAAGGGTAGCTGCTGGGAGGCAGCAGGGGTGCTCACTCACCTGGAGGAGGTGCGGGAAGCCTTGGCATGGGCATTCTTCATGGCTGGAGGGTAGGTGATGTTCCCATACTCCGACTCCCGCACCTTCTGGGTCTGTAGGCAGAGACGTGGCGGGAGGGCAGTGGTCCCAGCAGGGCCAGGGGATGCCCGTTGCCCCCAGATCCCTGCAGGCTTGGCTCACACATACCTGCATGACTTCCAGCTTCTTCTTGGTGGTTTCAATGAACTGTGCAATGGCCACGTAAATGAACTTGTACTGTGCCTCCGTCTGCACCATGCCTGAGCGCTGTGCCCGCACCATCTGGATGGTCTTCTGGATGTCGATGTCACAGTCCAGCCCTGGACAGGGTCACAGCTAAACTTCAGACCCAGGCAGAGGGGGACACCGGGGGCTGCTCACCTGCCTGCCCACCAGCATCCCCACAGGGACCGCTCACCCTTGGTGGAGATGCTCTCCATCAGCATGTCGATGACAATGATGGTGCCGGTGCGGCCAATGCCCGCGCTGGGGAGAGAAGCGGGCGCCATCAGAGGCCACATACCACCTGAGAGGGGGGCCCCCCATGCTCGACTCCCACATGCAGCAGGATGTAGAGAAACCAAAGCCCCAGAGAGAAGAGGTGAGGGGCCCAGGACTCTGGGCAGGCAAGCAAGGGACAGATATGCCCAGCTGTCCAGCCCTGCTTGCCACTTCAGTCAAGGGATTTCAGAGGAAGAGCTTTCAAGAGCTCAGATGCCGTCAGCATTTTCCTTCTTCCACTTCTTGTTCTGACTCCTCCTTCCTGGCTGGTGGCTAGTGCCCTCGCCCTCACCCCTGCAACCCCAAGTCCCCAAGCCTGCTGTCCCAGGCAGCCTGGGCCCTCTGGGCCCTCCCCACACCCAGAACCTGAACTGGGCCTTCTTCCACTCTCTTTGATATTTGAGCTGGACCCTGACAGCAGGGAAAGGGCAGCCCTTGAGCCAGTGGTATGTGAGGGCCATCAGGGTCAGCAGATTGGACCAGCCATGCAGTAAGAAGCCTCCCTTCTTCCTCCTCCCGCCTAGTTCACCCCCCTTGAACAAGCCAACCCCAGGAACCTCAGTCCTTACCAGCAGACCCCGGGCCCCCCTCGCCGGGCCTGTCTGTCAGGCCGGTGCCCTAAGTCGTACTCACTGTCTAATTTCAAACCCAGATTGTCAAAAATAACCCCCCTCACCCACTTCCTTCCTGTAACGTCTAAATAAAGGCCATGGGGATTTCAAGAAAATGGGGGGGTACCAGCAGGAGGGTCGTTCTTGGAGCTGGCCCTGGAGGGCAGAGTAGAGGCCCTTCGAAAGCACGTGCAGGCCCCCAGGTCCAGCCCTTCAGCCTGGCCCAGGACTTACAGTTGCTGGTGGGAAGAAGGAAGTCAAGAGCCTCACAGGCCTGGGGTCACATGGAGGGGCAGAAAGGGAAGAGAGCAAAGCAGGTTCCCATTTCTTCCCACCCTGTCTAATGTGAGTTAGTGAACCATTAACAGCACCCATTTCTGGAGGATTCACTGTGTTCCAATGATAAGGTCCATTTCATCTTCATAACGACCCTATGAGATCCTGACTTTATAGATGAGTAATCTGTGGGCCACAGAAGTTAAGTAATTTGTCGAAGGTCACACAGCCTGTGAGTGGAGGAGCTGGTATAAACCCTGAGGTTTCGCGGCCCTGCACCTTAGCCTCCCATCTACCCAGGCCAGCGGCACAAGCCCATTCTGAACTCTAGCCCTCAGGCCTGAAGAGACCCCCACCCCTCCCCCTCTGCCCCACCTGGGGTCTCCTGATTGTGAATACAAGGGCTTTGAATGGCGTTAGTGATGCTTGTATCCCTCTAGAAGTCACTCCCCAACCCCTACCACCCCTGGGGCTACGCTGGGGGGCACTGGCTGGGAAGGGGGAGCACTGAAGAAGCCGAAGCCAACTGCCAACACCTCCTTCCCAGAGTTATAGATGGAAAAAGAGAAGCCACTTTAACCCCCAGTGGGCCCTAGGGGCAGAGAACAAACAGGACAAGTAGGTCCATGTGGGAAGACAGGGGTGACCAGGCCCTCAGGCGATGTGAGCTCCTGTCCAGGCTTTCCCACTGACCAGCCAGGGGCTTGGCAGTTGCCGGACCGGTTTCCGCATCTGTGTCTGGCAGGGTTGGACTAGACAATACACCCCGGGGAGTCACAGGCACAGCTTCCAACAGCAGGGCTGGTTCAAGCTCCCCTACGTCTGGAGCCTTCAGGGAACCCAAAAGAGACTGGGGGGCTGGGGCCATTAAAGGAATTACCATGAAAACTGCCTACAACAGTGCCTGGCACCTCGTATTTACTGGCCTGTTGCTGACTTTATTATTGCTAATGTCATTCTTATCCTTGTTCTCACCTGCAATGCACGATGATGGGCCCCGCATGGGGCAGGCTATCCTGCCGCTGATTGATCTGGTCCAGGAAGCTGAGGACGCCCCCAGGTTCACTGGGGACTCCATGATCAGGCCAGCTCAGGTACTGGTAGTGCCATATCTCCCGAACCAAGTCCTCCTGGGCCAGGGACACAATGTCAGGGCCCCCTGCTTCCCCACGTGTCACTCCATCCCACCCAACCAGACAAGGAGTGGGACAGGGCAGAGACACTCACATTATTCAGCAGGGAGACCTGTAAGGTGCGGAGTTTGTACTCAGCTGCATCGTGTTCCCCACAATTGGTTACAAGATAGGATCCATAAGCGCGCTGGCTGCCTACCTCTGGCCAGTAAGGGACACATTTGTTCTGGAAAGGGGAGGGTAGAAGAGAGGAATGAGGCACAGAAGCAGGCCATTTTAGGGCCTGTTCTAGGCCTGGAGTCCTTGCTGCTGGTCCATCAACATTTGTTGGCTGAATAAACTGGCCAGGCTGGGGAGACCTGGGATCTAGCCTTAGCTCAGTCTCCCACCAGCAATGAGATCTACCCAACCACTAAACATTATAATTCATTCAACAAACATCAACTAGCATAGGCATTTTACCTAAAGCCGTGCAAATAAGGAAGAGTGGCAAACACAATTTAGTCTGTGCCCCTGTGTCTCCAGGCGCCCACAGAAAGATGGGGAAACAGGGCCTCCCTGGTGGCGCAAGGGGTTAAGCACCACACTATGAAGCAATCCACAGCCTCTGCAGCACGAGTTCGATCCCCGGCCGGCCAGGGAGCTACCCACATGGCGCAACAGACCTCTCCTGTCTTGCCCGCTGCTCCCCTCAGCAGTGTATTTCAGTCAATCTGCCTGTTCTACTCCCCACTCTGTCTCTGGTGAATCCTCTCACCCCCACACCTCTGGCCTGTGCCCCAGCTCTTGTATGCATAAATAGATAAATCTTAAAAAAAAAAAAAATGGGGAAACAGGAAAGCACGGG